ACAACCCCGAGTTTGAGGTCTTTAATGTGTACAACGCAGTACTGATACAATTTCTGTGAGTGTAGTTGATGTTGGTGAGCATTTCCATTGAAAATAAAACCCAATCTCTTAAGTGGCGCTTTGATCCTACTGAATAAAGGCAGTTTATGAAGCTCACAAGAACGAATAAGAATGTTTAAGCTTTGTTTAGGCACGCGACGTGAGAGCACCATCCAAGAATTGCCAAAACAACGCGCTAACTGCAAAAAAAAAAAAAAAAAAAACGAAAAAAAAACGGAATTTTGACAGATAAATAGCTTCGCCACTTCGCAAACTCTGCCCTTATTTATTTATTTATTTTTATGGGAATACTGCCAGTCCTCTCTTGAGGGCCATCACAGGGAGGGTGCAAGTTACAAAAATACACAACCATTAGGTTAACCGCTGAGTGATGGAATAGTCAAAGGATAATACACTGTCTCTATATTCACAAATTCATTTGGTAGCATGTTCCAGCCTCAACCGTACTCACACACACCCAAAAAAAAAAAAAAGATTGCTCAAAGGTGTCTATGCGGCTATTGAATCTTTGGACTGTTTTGAATTGAATTAGTAGCCTGCCTGACCTCCTTATACTTGCTGGTCAAATGTATGTATTTGGGCTCAAGTTAAGCTTGCTGTCAATAATAAAAAAAAAAGTAATTTTAAGCGTGCGTTTTCTCGTCTTTTCTGCAATGCTTGTAGATTGTTCGAATAGAGCATTTCTGTTGGAGATGCCATCCTCCTGCAGCCGCTTCAACGCTCGCGATCGCCACAACCGGGTGAGGCGTGGCGGATTCATGGAGGAATATCCCACGACGAGGACCCCGACGTGGAACAACAGTTCTGTCCCAGATTCACGCCTCCCTCGCTCGGCGCGGTCTAACGCGTGAGGTATATACTCCCGGGGAGTTTAACTAAACACTCGTAGGGCGACGGTGGTTGCACGAGCTCGAAAAGAAGCACGCAGCACCGAAAGAAGGCCCCCACCTCCCTCTCGTCCTTGCCAATAATTTTCGCAGCGGCGGATGTTGCTCAGGACGGCAACGTACGACGACGGGGCGCCGCGCCCGCTGGCCTGTCCTCCCAATACCGCATAGAACACAAGGCCTCTGCCTACCCCTCCCCAAACGTCATCACTTGTGGATCTACGCAACGCTACCTGGCTTGAATCATCATCGCCGCCAGCGCGTCTCGTAGCGTCTCTGGTCCAGCTCGAGCGAGTTTGCCGCTCGGGTCGGATCGGGGATCCACTAACTATGACGTCATGTGGAGGCCTTGTCTTCTATGTGGTTCTCCCCAGCCCTCCCTCCGGAACTCGCGTATAGTGCAGCCGGCAGCAGGCAGACTTGGAGCCCGACCAGAGGCGGCGCTCGAAATTCATGTGTCACGAGCAAACACGGCGCAGGTTTTATGTCGCCGCGTGTGCGCTCCAAGGACCATCTAGGCTTCTCCGAGGAAACAGGTCTTGTGTGCCGCGGTCGGCACGTTTCCCGGTTGATGTCGGTTCGGCTCGATTTGGGTTCCTTCCTTCCAATGGGATTCCCTTCTACGGCCAGCGCGTGGTCTTTATGCCGCTGCCTGCTCACTGTTTTGGTTCTGCTTTTTGGAGTGGGGCGAATATAAATTCAGACACGACTGCCGAGACCATAGCAGGGGATAGTGGTGGCTTGTGGTGCTCGTCGCCTCTGCCTGATTCTGACTTGTCTGACTCGAAGACACCTCGGTGCCAGGAAAAGTGCCGGCCTACAGATTCCCAAGTGATGGGTTTGAATCCCAGGTGCTTCCATTCTGATGGAGGCGTATTACATCCGCGGAGAAGACGCTGTGCAGCTGGGATTTAAGTTGCAAATCATAATGAGCAGCCCTCCTCTGAGGTGTGTCAGATATCCTTCGTTCGTTTGGCACTTGAAACCCTCAAATTAGACGTTTTCTTGGCATGTCTGACTGATTTTGAGAAGCAGACACCTGGACCCGGTTGCTCAAGAGTCAAAACAACGAGCCTTAAAACTGGGATATTTTACTCGATAAAGGTTACCTATTAACAAAAACTGCTTGACACAACAGCACAAATAATTTAACTAAACGATTCGCCGGAGCCAGACGACCCAGGGTGGCAAGTGATGCAGATATATCTGAGCTACAGCGGCGCCAGTGGCCAGATTAGCCGAAAAGGCGTCGTGCCACAAATGAGCCTAGCGGAGCTTCCATTCTACATGTCGGTGTACGCTAGCCCCGTGCTTCCCTCACTTGCCAATGTGGCACGTGAGGAAAAAAAAAGGTAGACTGTCGCAAGCTAGCCTGTTTTTTTTTTTTTTTTTTTTTAAATATCGGAATGTGTATACTTTGCCATCCGCTTGCGTCGTTTTGTCTTTACTAGGGTAAAAGGTGCAACGCCTAAAGCAGAAACAGAGCAAAATGATTGTTGTAACTTGTAAATGGTTTTTATTACCTAGTTGTAATTACTTTTAAAATGAGGTAGGTTATTTAGAATTTTGTGCTTTCGGCGTTTATTTCACGTGAAACTTCAGAAGATGCTTTTCGGAATTTCCGGTTTGTTTGTTTTTCCCCTGAAAATCTGGGATTTATAGAAGCTTATTTTGTTAGATTTCCAATCCTTTAAAACTTCGAAATTTAATTTTGCTATGTTCCGAGGTTTTCAAAACGTGAAAATAAAAGTCCGGCAACAAACGTATACCTAACTTTACCTGAATCCACCAGTAACGAATGATTTTTCTGCAGCTACATTTGTCATATCGGTGCCCTTGTGAAACTGTACTATCCCACGACAAATATTTGCGACGAAGTTTTGTCTAAATAACAGTAAATACTTAGAAATAACAACTGGACGTAGTCGCTGGGAAGCATGCATACAACCTTCAGCAATACTCCCCCTCCATTGAAATCTACGGGTTCATAGCTTTCACCTCTGCTTTCACTGTTATGAAAACACAACCCCTCCTTCTCTGTAAGAAGCACAAAATATGATTCAAACTGGATCATATTACGGCTATGGCTGGATCATGGCATACAATGGTTTTTGTAGTGACCCGAAGGTACCATGGAGCTGTTTTCCCGAATACAGTGAACCTTGGCGAGCTTATCCCGTTTGGTCAGTAGTTTGAGATTCAAAGAAAACTGAAGTGGCCTTTGCTCAAAACCACTGACGCTGTGCTCTTGTTTGTTTGTTTGTTTGTTTGTTTCATATTTACTCGTAAAACACCGCCTTTTTTTAATGTTTGTTTTTCTCTCGTGACCTCGAAATTTGGAGTTATTCGGACAAATCAGAATTGACGAAAATTTACCGGTGAGTGTTTTCCGAATTCTGAAAACACGAAACCCTAGTTATAAACTAATAATCCACAACCGGTTCTTGAACGTGGATCTTCGTATTTTTCGTCCTTTACGCCAACTAAAATGGCTGATGTCAGGCGCCAGGGCAGTAACTGTGAAACTGAGCTGGCGCGAATGTTTTACTTTCCGAAGAGCAGAGGCTAATGCGCAGCATCCTCAGGCTTCGTATGTACAGCATATGACCATGGCATTTTCATCTCCGTGGTACACACAGAACTGTACACATGCTCCTGTTGACAAAGACCAATAGTTTAGTCAGACTTGGTTATACACTTCCTCTTGAGTATTTACTCACCACACATGACTAATACATAATAGCTTCTTTGGAATGACATTTTCACAACTCTGGGACATCTCGAAGTTCAACAGGTTCGCCGGGAATCTTATATACTGCGTCAAACGTTGGACACCTTTCGGTTTCGGAAACTTGAGCATCTCTCGAAGTGTATCACCAACTCTAACACCCTCGTTACACGGGCACACTTAACTGCAGTTACGCTATGCCACAGTTAGCGCACAATACTTGCGGGAAACATTCTGCGGCTGTGCAGTCAAAGTTATGGGCGAACGTGCGCTTGAGCATCTTGAGCTCCCATCAAAACAGTGCACACGCACTCTTCACTTCCTCTAAAATAGCTGTCCGAGACTATAGTGCGGTAACAGTGGTGCCGCGTAACAGCAGTTAAAGCTGAGTTAACCGCGGTTAAGGGTGCCCGTGTAACAGGGGTATAACACACTACACCGCAATGCCGTGGAAACACCAAGCATTGGCCTTCCCTCAGTCAGCTAGACCCGTGAGAGGGGCGCTCGGTATCAGTATAAGGGACGCAAGTGGTGGACGCCTCTTTTCCACTGAGGTTGCGAGGACAACGAGGCATCGGCTAAGCTAATTAAGCGATAATTAATTATCCTTGTTTCAATGGCGTCACGGCACAGTGCACACTCAGGAACGTTTGGTAGTGTAAGGCGATTGCGTGTCCGAGTAAATTCTAAAAAGGTTTCTGTATGCTAGGTACTTCCGCGTTGTTGTTGTAGTGGTGGTGATGTATGCCTGACATGATACTTGCACGCATTGATTAGTTTCAGACGACTACTGCAGTTCGATGAGTATTAATGTGGGGAGGAAGAAGAGACGACAATAAGACAAGCTATACGCGGGTAGCAACTGATGGAGAGGACGAGATGAAGGCACGCGGGGACATTAGAGTGCCGCGAGCTATGATTGGAACATTGATTAGTGATTGATTAGTTAGTAGACACAAAGCTAGCTGCCCTTTTCTCTACTCACTATTAGCACGCGTTCGAACAATACTTAGAGACAAGGGTTTTACGTCCACTAATTATTCCAGCCAGAACTAGGAGCTCTGACGTCCCGCGCGATCTTCCTCAGTCCCTGTCCGTATACAGTGATGATGAAACAGGCAGGCTAACGCCAAAACAATGTGGCAGTAGATCACTCACGTGCATGCGAGTGAATGAATGAGCGCGAAGGTCACTCAAAGTCACGCAGGAAAACACCCATAACACTATGTATACAACCATAGCCTATTATACAAGCATGGTTCATAAGGTATGGTACAGGCACGAAGATTCTAAGCCCTCGTTCTTTGGCGCCACGTCTGTCGCAGGCGCATGTTCCCCGTGGTGCGCGTGTCCGTGAGCGGCCTGCACCCGCGCGCCATGTACAGCCTGGTGCTGGACTTCAGCCAGGTGGGCTCGCAGCGCTGGAAGTTCCTCAACGGCCGCTGGGCCAGCGCCAGCCGGGCCGAGCCGCCGCCGCGCCAGGGGCTCTTCGTGCACCCGGACTCGCCCAACTTCGGCGCCCACTGGACCAAGGCTCCGGTGTCCTTCTCCAAGGTCAAGCTCACCAACAAGCCCACGTCCAGCCAGGGATTTGTGAGTGCCCGTACACCATCTGGTATTGCATTCCGAAGCCAATTCGGTCCTAATCAACTATAATAAAACGTTCAGAACGTGTCGCATCCCCCTGAAACACATAAAAGCCAGCGGCTATCACCTCCCGGATAACACAACCGTAGAGCTATATTTTGTACGTAATCTACTGTAGGCCAGCAAAGGGCGTAGATTGCACTGTAGGCCAGCAAAGGGCGTAGATTGCACACGACTGCTGCGTCAGCATTCGACTTGTACGTGTCTTCACTCTATCGACACGAGTCGCAACCAAATATTGACCGAGCACTCGTTTGTGCTCCGCTCTGGCCTTCAGTTGATGACGTAGAAGATCCAGCACAACGAACTTCTTCATCCGAGCATGCAGACTGAACGGAAGCCAGCTAACTGGTCATCAATCGTATTTTCGGTGACTGTGTACAGGTCGCGGTCCAGACTACCGTGTTTCGTTTTTCTCCCACTGATGACTCTCCATCCATGCTTCTCTGGACCATCTTCAGGTGGTGCTCAACTCCTTGCACATGTACGAGCCCCGGGTGCACCTGGTGCGTGTGGATCAGCGGCGCATGTGCAGTTTCCCCCTTCGAGAGACCCGGTTCATTGCTGTCACCGCTTACCAAAACGAACAGGTGACGTGTCATATCCCCTCCCCTTTCCTAAACCATACGCAACACACACACTTTGTAGGTTGAGCTACTATACGGAGACGCGGGCATGTGGCTTCTGAAAGTGCCCTTCTTGCGAACGGTTGATGACCCCTAAGGTTTTGGGGAGGAGATAGAACTATAGGGAGCCCTTTATTAAGCTTGTTCTACCCACAGCCCGGTGTTTACTAACACAGCATAACAATGAAATGGAACCTCGCCTCCCACGGTCTGGGCACGATCCCTTCGCTCTAATCAGTGTTTTGGTCGCACGAGGAACGACATTTGAATTGTCATCTTCAATTACTTTAGTCAAAAACAAAGAAGAAAACTCGGTTTGTTATCCCTACAGCTGAAGGGAATTGCTAGAGGCGTGACTGTTTGATCTCCTTCCCAATAACCAAATATCAAAGATTAACTTCACGCGCTAAAAAGAAACTGAAAAGGTTATTGAAAAAAGAAAACAAAAAACGAGTTAAAGGTGTTTCTTAGAGTATTTTTATCCCGTGAATCTGAATATCACGTTTGTTTTCCCCAAAGATGAAACTAAACGCGAGAAAACACGGAAACCTCCGACCGGTCGTTACGTCATACCCGGATCTTTCGACTGTCAGCGTGTGTCGCTCGTGTGGGCAACGCGTGCAGTTGCCGCACTGACACCAGTTGGGAAGTATTTTTCTGACCTTTTTGAAAATAGCGAGAGTGCGCGTTCATAGCTTTGGTCGGCGCGTACAAGTAAGGTCGTAGTCGATTGGGATAGGAACAACTCAACAATAAACCTCCCAGTAGCCCTAAAGTGACTTTCGACGTTACGCTAAGCCATCTGCTTCAGGACCTAGAGGGCATTAAGCCTCTTGGCTTAACACAACCGTCATAAAAGAGCTTAGATCATGGTGTATGAACTATAATTTTTCAATTTATTTTACTGTCGGTTTAGGTTGTGATGTGTTTTAAAGCGGTGCTTTGCTCGCTTTCAGACCACGAAGACGCGCGTGCTGGTCTGTGCGCTTGTCAACCTTGGAACTGCGATTTTTGCACTTGCGTAAAGGCCTAACAGCTGGCAACGGCACCGCCGTCCAGCGTCCCATCGCAAGGAGGCTACATTGGCCTCCGTTTTGCGGTCGTTATAATCAAGTGACAGCACTAACTCTCGCGTTCTCGAGATCAGGCACGTGCCTCCTGCTGGATTTTTCGCGCTTTCGTCGTCTGTTGTTCGTCAGATACTTCCGTTTCGGCTCTCATCTTTCGCGTATATCAACATCGAAACCGCACTAGCTGCCTACATGGTAGGTGTTCATGATGACCTGGTGATCAGCGTAAATGTGATCATCGCAGCCTGCTTTTTAGATCCTGTGTCGTCGCCGCGCTCTGAAGGGACAGAGGCGCAGGTTTTGGATCCGGACGAGTTGGTGCTACCGAGACACCGAGGGACAGGTCTGTGCTTCGCTGCCCCGGCTGCGCGCCAGATATGAAGGCTACTTTCGAGAGTCACCAAATCAACACGATATCCGTAAACAACCCAGACGAAATGCGACAAGTGCCACGGAGAAACTCACCTGTTAGTCCGAATTTATCTCTGATAATTTCTCTGTGGTTGTTCTTAGCGTCCTTATCAAGGTAGTCAAGCTGCACAGTTTCGAGGAACAGCCCCGTTGGGGAAAGCATTGGGGGAAATAGGGATAGCAGACGAAACGAAACAACGTTACGCTCTTTTGCAACGTGCAAGACGCGCGGAGAACCGGCTTGCGCGTTGCCATGGCATCGCAACGTCATATATCTACGCCACCTTCCATTGGCTCCTCTCTTCTGCGGCGAGAAACGGCGAGCCCTCAACCGCGCACGGGCAGGTTGCATTGACGGCACCGAGTGGCAAGCCGCTGAGGGCGAAAACTGGCTTTGACCGTCACCCCGCGGCGGTCAGCGGCGCGCGGCAAGCCTCTGCGACGCTATCGGGCCTGGTATTTGTGAGAGTAAAAAAAAAAGCCAAACTGACCCTCACTTTGATGCCAACGACAAAGTTCACCTGGTACAGCTGATGTCACTGGACTCTGGGGAAGTGGCGTTAAGCCCCCTCCCCCCCCCCCCCCCCCCCCCCCCCCCCCCGTTTTCTATCTTGAGCTCTCCATTTTTGGTTAGCCGACATGAATTCGCCGGGGAAGAGTAGCTTTATAGAGATGTCTCTTGAATACCGAGATTATGTTGTCCACAAACCGGCGAAAGAAGCGCAGATCTTCGCACCGCACTGACACGAGGCGCCGTTTGCATTGTAAAATAATTTTCTGTTCTTTAAATACGCAAGAACAGCACTACCCTTGTAACAGATGAGTGGTGATAAGCATGCTTGATGAGTGGATTGCATGCACAGCACGTGAAATGCTAATATTGGCGAGGAACGCTTTATGTACGACGATATTTTTTGTATAGAGCTGTTTTCGTTAACCTGTGAAACCTAGGTCTCTTTTATATATGTATTTTACGTATTGCTGTAATCTCTGCAGTTATTTTTGTATCGCCATAGCTGTCTGCCAAGTGCACGGGGCCCGGACCCCGTCAAGTCAACATTGGTTGACTTTTTGTCCGTGGCTCCGGCGTCTGTAACCCATACGGATGCAAAAATAAAAATTATTATTATTATTATTATTATATTACATAGTGATCTTGGTGCGACTGATTTTTGGGGGTTATGGGGATATTTATACAGCGTGTAGTTGGTCATCCATTAAAGTTGCGACGAATCACACGCTGTAGATGAGCAATTTAGCCAGTGCAGTGGTGCGACTGATTCATATACAATCCTTTCAAGGCCTCGCAGATTCGAATGGACCAAAATCGCGATCGCCATGGCAACTGAGTCCAAACAGCCAATTACCTTGCGGGGTTTGATCGTCTGTATGTTAGTATCGGAATTTGTGTGCGGCCAGCAGGCCGGGAAGGTGACGGCGCTACTTACCGAGGATCCAGTGACCTTAGGGACACAAATTCTCATATCATCTTAATGATATAGGGTTTCACGTCGAAGATAGCTTGCATGTTGGCAAAATCTGATTCGCCTGGCCGGTGGCTGAACTTGTGCGAGCGTTCCACTCGCCGTACTGAATTGACAACATTAAGTAGTATACTTCAAAGCTAGCGATAAGTATGTCTGCAAACTGACGTCGCGTGCAGCCAATGTTCACGTTTCATTTCATTCCGCCGACGTCACTTCGGAACCGTGTTAACGGAATGCTGCACCCCCAGAAGCAAGCTCTGGAGTTCACGTGTTGTTCCCGCCGCCCAGGTGACGGCCCTAAAGGTTCGGCACAACCCGTTCGCCAAGGCCTTCCTGGACAGCAAGGAGCGTACAGGCTGCGAGCATCCACTCTCCCTGTGGACCCCCCAGGCGCTCAAGGAGCCAGGAATCCCTGACACCCTCCGGGGGGCCAGGCGCCCCTGCAGGCCCTGGCTCGAGCAGCCACGGACAGACGCGTGCCGCGGGACGCCGTACGTTCGGCTGCAACCAGCCAGACACGCCACTTGCTCAGGTGGGACGCCTGAGCGCACCCAGAGTCACCTGCAGCCCCCTTGTCCCCTGTCGGGCTAAAGAAACACCACCTAGAAGACAAGGCCTGCGCATGACGTCATCATTAGTGGATCCCACTCCAAAAACACGGCCTCGACGAGAGTCGCTGCTTTGTGGCAGACGTTTTCCGTAGTGGCGTCGCCGCGTGATAGTGTCGCGCACGTTGTAAGACATATGCAAGTCGTGCTGGCGGCGACGTAGGCTCCAGCTTGCTGTTTGGATCCACTAGCGATGACGTTTTGCGGGAAGCAGGCCCCGTCTTCTACGTGGCGTTGGCTACCGACATGGAGGTAAGAGTAAGAGGAGGCAGCATGATGATAATGCAATTAATTTAAACATGCAAGCTAGGTGGACAAGAGTAACGATAATAATCCCATGAGGAAGGGGAACAAGGAGGACAAAGGACAAACACAAATTTCCAAACGCAGTTAGGTGACAAGTACGCGACTGAAAAAAGTCGCCTGTTCTTGGTACCGAACCAAGGACCTCTCCATTTCCAATGGATCGTTCTACCAACTGAGCTAACCAGGAGTTAGACGTCGGTGGAGCAAACGGGTTTAACAGCTGCCATCAGCCTAACACCAACAAGGGTGAAGGCCTGCATTTTTAATGTTACGATGATAGTGCAATTAATGAAAAGATCCAAACGAGCTGGACAAGAATAACGATAATAATCAATGGAGAAATGAAACAAGGGGACAAAGGACAAACACAAATCTCCAAACAAAGCTAGGTGACTGGTGCTCGACTAAAAAAATCCGCCTGGTCCTGGTATCCAAGCAGGGACCTTTCCATTTCCAGTGGAGCGCTCTGCCAACTGAGCCAACCAGGTGTTAAACGTCGCAGCGTGCCGTGACATCCACTTGTCCGCCGAAACGGACCTGGCTGTGTTTGAATAAATGTGTTCGTTCTTTGTCCCTCTCTTTCCCCTTCTCCAGGGATTAATATCGGTTCTTGAAGAGGGTTTATAAAGGCACCACGGAGTAAATTTGTAGGCCGAGTGTGCTCGCACCGCAGCTCGTAGCACGACTGCACGACCGAGGGTACTGTACCCAGGGATCCTGGGTTATTTTTGACATCCCTAACCGTTCTTTTTTCGATCTGGATGAGTATTGTACCGGCATGCGGTCATGTAACACTACTGCGTGGTTCACATTAAAGACCCCAGGCTAATGGTTGTGCCATGCTATAGCTAAATTTCTCATCTACAGCCGAAACACCAGACGCCCATTGAGGCTGACTAACTTACGGTTGTAGAAACATACACACAACACAATTATTGTCTTATATGGGATGGGAGGGGGGATCGGTGGCCGAGTGGTCTAGCGCACGCCAGCTCGGAGCACGTGGAGCGAAAGCTCGCGCTGCAGAACCCAGGGATCCTGGGTTCGAGCCCCACCCCTGTCCGTTTCGATCTGGATGAGCATCGTACCGGCGTGCGGTCGTGTATCACTACTGCGTGATGCACGTTAAAGACCCCAGGCTAGCGGCTGTACCGCACTGGCTAAATTTCTCATCTACAGCTGGGAGACTCGTCGCCCCTGTGAGGCAGACCAAGTTCTAGGCTGTATAAACACACACACAACCCAATTTTTTTTTATGGGATGGGAAGAACAAAATCAATCCGAACCCAGAGATCAACGTGGAGGAGCGCGCGCGTCAAAAGTGGGTTGGTCTATTTTACTCCTTGAAATTTCGCGTTCAGTAATAGTCTTAATTAACGCACGTTTAATGTTACGTTGGTTATAAAAATTACGTTTTATGAGTCATTGGTTTCAGTAATAATGATGCGCCGGAGGTGACCAATTACTCCTGAAATAATGCCGAGTTCTATTTCAACATCGCACGTTTTTCTAAAGAAAAAAGTCAGGGAAGCAGCCCAAACAAGGTTCCCTTCTCTTTCGGAGTGGTTTAAAGGGACACTGACACCCCCCGGTAATTTATTTGTATTTTTTGCCAGGTGATTCAATATGGTGTCACAAGACTGCCCAACCTATATTTTGATACAGAGACATGTATAGTTTTAATAAAAAAAAGTGAAAGCCGTTTACAACTTTCTGTAACGCCGAATTGGAGCGCAGCTCTTGAGGAGGAGGAGGGAAGGGTACTGAGGGGAGGGTAGACCTCTCCTCCTCTTTCTCCTCCTCCTCCCCTCATTCTTTAATATGCTCCGGGGGGGGGGGGGGGGGTCACGTGACCTCGGGGGGGGGGGGGGTGAGCGGGGGTCACGTGACCTCGGGGAGGGGGGCCAGGTGACCTGGGGGGCCACGTGATCTCGGGGGGTCACGTGACCTTGGGAGGATCACGTGGCCTTGGGGGGTCACGTGTCCTGGGGGTCACGTGACCTTGGGGTGACCTTGGTTACGCCGACGGCGACGGCGACGGCGACGCCGACGCCGCTCAAGCCGGAAACGGGCCCCTAAGAGCTGCGCTCTAAAAAAAAACTACTCGAAACCGAAATCGAGACATGAGCACGGAGTAATGGCGCGACATGTCACTAGAGAGGAGAGAGTTGCCGAAAGTCACGTGGATCTACCCGACCGCATTTTTTTAAAAATTTTTTTTTTTAGGCCGTGCGAAGCATCGAGAAGGAACTCATCGTTCGCAGTAATGTAGGTCAGAAAGTTTACTGCCAACTCCCTGCTGCAATGGAGCTCCCCAGGCTCGAAGCCGGGTAGCACCACGCATTGGCCACATTCGCAGCTAGTAAAAAAATCCTACGCACGCACATTCAACACCAAGTACGCACTTCGTGCTTGACGTTTGCGCGTGTTTCAAGCCTTCAGCCAGGAGAAGGGGCGACGACTCGGCGGCGTCTTCGTGAGAATCAGCGTGGTGGTCGGGAATAACACCTCATTCTTTTCATCGGTAAAAAAATGTTTATTTCGAAGCTAGACAGATTCGCCGGTACCGCGAACAACAGTTGTGAAGTAGAGGTCCCACGTCCGTCGTCCGCCAGCATCGCCTTTGCGCTGTTCACATGCAGTGGTTCAGCGTCGCTGCAGTAGCTTGCGGCGCCGCGGCACATATCGCAGGTTTCACTTCACGCGTCTGCGAGCGTTTTCTGCCGCTGCGATGTCCAACATTGCTGGCAGCAAGCGGACGTGCGCAATGAATTTTAGCGGTCTCCAATAACAATTTGAATATCTGATATTTCTGTTTCTTTTTTCTTTTTGCTTTATTTTATTTTATTTATTTATCAATACTGCCAGCCCTTTTAGGGCCAAAGCAGGAGTGGATGATACAGAAATATTGGCACATTTGTCTCCGATACAAATTAAAACAACAATACTTGTGTGCACACACTCTTCTTCTAGCGCACACAACCATAACAATAGCTTAACTTCTAACAACGCAATATCACTTAATACAAAACATCGTCTCCTTATACAATTCAAAAACACAGGAAGTAGAACATTTTAACACTCAAAAACCGCATCTAAGGCATTTGAAAAAATGGAAAAAGAATCAAGATTTACTATTTCACTTGGAAGTTTATTCCATAATTCAATTGTACGCACAAAAAAAGACTGTTTGAATGCATTTATTCTAGCATTAATAGGTGCTACCATCTTCGAATGGTGTAAGCGCTGAGAGTGAAATGTTCTTGGCTTTAGGTATTTTGAGCCATCTATTTTTAGGAGGTTATTATATATCTGAAAAAACAACTTCACCCGCTGACATGCCCTTCTGTTTATTAAAAGCTGTAAATTTGCTTTTGTTTTAAGTCCCGTGACCGACGTGGTCCGTCTAAAATCCGAAAAGATTACACGTGCCGCCAGTGATTGTACATCTTCGAGTTCCTTAACAAGACAGCATTGCCAAGGATCCCAGACCGCAGACGCATATTCAAGGATAGGCCTAATAATGGTTTTATATGCTAAAAGTCTAACCGAGGGAGGAGCTCCGCCTAGCGTTCTTTTTAGAAACCATAGCTTGTTAGTTGCCCTTTTTCGAATGTATTCCACATGTTTGCTCCATTTTAAATCACTTGCGATAATCACTCCTAAATATTTATAACTCTCAACGTTCGTCAGCTTGAAGCCACAAACAACATAGTTGAATGTCAATACAGTTTTTTTAGTTGAAACATGCATGTACTGCGTTTTGTGAACATTAATCATCATGTTATAATCTTGGCACCACGACGCAATGCCTGATAATGTACTGCTCAAATTTATCTGGTCTTCGACTGAATATACGGGTGTGTAAATTACGCAGTCATCTGCAAACATTCTTATTTTTATGGGGCCGCTAGTTGAAATTGAAAACAAGCTGTTAACATATATCAAAAAAAGTAAAGGGCCCAAAACCGACCCTTGGGGTACTCCAGAATGAACATCTAACAAACCCGAGAAGGCACCATTTACATCCACGAATTGCTGGCGATTTGTGAGATACGCATTTATCCAGCTGATAATATATGAGGGAACTTCAAGGTCTATTAATACTTTAACTAGTTTACGGTGAGGTACTCGGTCAAAGGCCTTTGATAAATCAATAAACACCGCATCCACCTGGGTTCTGTCATTTACATAGGTTGATAATTCGTGATAAAATTCAATTAACTGAGTCACTGTTGACAGTCCCACACGAAAACCATGTTGGCTGGGGTTAATTGTACCTTTTGATTCGAGGAAAGAAACAAGGTGTTTATTTACGATATGTTCCAACAATTTACAGGATGCACATGTCAGAGAAATGGGACGATAGTTTTCAACCGAGTCACCTTTTCCACTTTTTTTGACGGGAACAACTCTAGCTACTAGCCAGTCATCCGGTAACACCGCATCTTGGATTGATCTAGTGAATATGCATGATAGGTATTTGGCGACCCACTCAGCGTACCTTTGGAGAAATGCGTTAGGTAAAGCGTCCGGTCCGGGTGATTTTTTAGCGTCAAGTGATCGTAACGACAGTATACCCTGCTCAGATATAAGACTGCTTACGTTATCTCTACAT